TCAACGCTGCGGGGTCATGTCCAGTTTTTGATCCCCCAGTGCCCCCAAGTCCGTCTCGGCGGGGCTGCTCATGATTCCTTCAACCCCCAGCCTATATGGATACTGGGGGTTGCCCCGACCCAGGTGCAGGACCCTGCACTTGGCCTTGTTGAACCTCATGAGGTTCACACAGGCCAATTCCTCTAGCTTCTCCAGGTCCCTCTGGATGGCATCCTGTCCCTCAGGCGTGTCAACCGCACCACTCAGCTGTATAGCAAAGCTGTTCTTTCGCATACTTGGTTCTGTAACGTCCTTGCAATATCTACAGAATTTTTACTCAGAAAGGACATGTATTTTTATATAACTACCTGTAACACACCTACTGCTTTTTTTTTTTTAAGAGCTGCTCATGCAACTGTTTTAATTTGAACTCCTTACCAATTATTTTTCTCTCTGCAGTAACTCATATACAAATTATACCTTACCGTTCTCTAGCTCCCTGATCGCCTATTTGTATCCCTCCTTCTCCTAGGTGCCCTTTCCTTACATGCTATACTTTTTGTCAACCAGGTCCTGCTTTGCAAAGCCCATGGTATTTACTCCTCCATTGATAGCCTGTGGACAGGCATAGCTCTTCTGATGAGATCTAGTAGGTCTGAAGCTATTAGTTTTGAAACCTACAGATAGCTCCTTGTTTCTTCCTTGTATCATCATCCACATACTGAAGATTAAGCAGCTGTACTGTACAGCTGTGTCCGGTAAATAATATAAGCAGCTGTATGGTTTCTAAATGTGGTGTATAACTTTCTGGCCAAGATTAAGGTAAAGAAATGACAGCACTGCTTGTTTGTGACAGGAATTTTTATTGTATTTGCTTGTTAATTGAGAAAGAGGAACATACTAGCTCAATTCAACATGATCAGCATTCTTGCTCCTGCTTAGGATAAGCTAAGAAATCCAGTGTTCCCAATACTAATTTAATGTTTTTGTTTTTCTTAAACTAACACCTCAAAACAGAATAAATGCATATTCTCCTTTTCATGTTTTAGTAGCCCAACTACTTTGCTTTATTATTTAATCAATGTCATAAATGTATCCCCCAAAGGAGTGAGGCTCTGGGAATTCATAGCCATGAGAAAAAAAAAATGCACAAGAACAACAAAACTTTTTTTTGATAATTTAGCAGTCTAATAAAACAAGACCTATCAATATATTAAGAAATAAATCCAGTTACAAATGCATGTATATAGAAGGAACTTCTGTGGATGTCAGAACAGAAAATGATCAGCTATTTACAAGATACACAGCAGGATGGTATAGTAGCCAAGACCCACCACTCAGACACCAAATGTGTTCTCTCCACTGTAGGCAACATACAAGAATCCATCCTCATCCTTTTCCTTCTCATAAAGTTGTCCCATAGTTAAGCTTGAAGGGGAAAAAAAGAGAAACAGTTTACTTGGATCATGACAGTTGCAAATGGTAACAGAACCTCACATAAACAGGGATTAGTAAAAGCTAGAACTTTTGTCTGTGTAAACTAACATACAAAAATGAGGATATATGAAAAGCAGTCGACTCCTGAGTTAGCAAAGTTATCCTGGGCTCTCTGCAGAGTGTCTAGGATTCTGTTACTTCTTCACAAATGCATTTGTCAGAATGCTCCCTTATTTTATTGGAAATGAGCCACTGAATGTATTTTAGGTTCTGAATCATCCATTATTGATGCCGTGACCAATACCAAGATCAATAGCCTGATAGCACGTTGCTTGAATGCAGCTGCATTAATGTCTTGCTTCTTGTGTGAACAATCTCATTTCTCCCTCTACCTGGTGTAGTTGTGAATGTTCAGCTGGTCTCAAGTCTATAAAACTTATGCTTTTTGGACTGTTTCTTTGAGGTCCAGGTTGTTTTTGGGAGTAAGAGCTTTGTTTTTTGTATTGTTAAAAAGTGATGACTTAATGATAGTACCAAAATGTGCGATCAATAAATTACAAGTTAGCCAGACACTAGTGCTTTTTCAGTGGATAAAGCTTTAAACATTTGATGAAAAGAAAATTTTGTTAAACTGAATAAGCATGTGGCCCTTCACACTCTAAGCAGTTGCGGTCTTTAGGGCAATGTCTGTATTTTGAAAACAAAAAGAAACGCAAGCAATTACTTGGCTAATACAACTGCTCCAACCATCTATCTGCAGATGAAACAGGCAGTTGACATCAGTCATTTGCACAAATGGTGCCGCCTCAGCTCACCCTTCTCTGACTTCCCAAGACTGAGAAAAGGCTAGTGAACTGAAAGATGCAGACTGAATGTGAGTGATAGGGAGAACGATCATGGCTTTTTACCCAAGAGAGGAGCTGGGAAGAGTTGCAGGCAGTACTTGGAAATGGAAGGGAATTGGTGAGTAGTAGATAAACTTCTGGATGAGCAGAGAAGGATGTCAAGAGTTTGTGGTCTATGTAATAAACTCAGTCTACAAGAGGAGCAGAGCCATTAACAGATTAGATTTTTGTTTATCTGTTAACAGGTTACCATTTTTGCATTAATACTGAAGGTTCAAGGCCCTATTTTTCCAGCAGAGATGTGACATCTCATCATGAACATGCGAGATGAGACAATGTGCCTTTTCTTTTTCTTTCCTGTTCCTAGCGGTTCTACAGTGCTGTTAAGAAGATGGCATATAGGCAGTCCTAATACTTCTAGAAGAAAGCAAGCAGAAAAGATGGTTCTCACAGGCCCCTATTGTCACAAAGTAAATGAAAATATTCCTAACTGAGTTTGGACAGGTTACCTGGAGGGACTGTTATGGTTACACAGGTAAAGGTTAACAAGAATAATACTGTATTGAAGCCATGTAATGTCACGGCATACTATTTCCTCAAATACTATTAAAGTATCTAATCTAGAAAGCAGTTGTAGTAGCTGCTTCTGCTATACATTATTCTGTATGTAGCAGACAATGAAACTTATTCCTATATAAAAGCAATGTGAAAAACCTTTCTATAGTCATTTTGCATTTTGTGTTTATAGAAGAAAACAAGTAATTTTTAAAACCAATAACAGCAACTAGTCTGTAACATGTTAATTTCTTTGTGAGCTGACAGTTTTTTTCAGAATAATTTATGGTGTTTCCTTTTGAGTATTTAACATGCAACTTTTTTTGTTATATTGAGAATGATTATTTTTTGGCATGGATGATATTTTCCAGTCACCTTTACTTTCAGCCTAGCTCAAGAAATAATATATTTATCAAACTGAAGAGAAAAAAAACCTATCATGGTGAGATGAAGATGTAATCAAACACCTCCTAAGAGGGGAGTTACTGTCCCTCTGGTAGGAATAGGCTTACTGAAATGGTTCTGAGTACCAAGTGAATAGCCTCTCACCTGGATTGTGGGACAGTCTTGTCTACAAAGAGGAATATTGCTTTCTCAGATGGCAGTTGAATCCTCTTCCTGATGATCCACATGAACTGGGCCACGGTGATGTCAGATGGAACTAAGTACTTCCTCTTGTCAATATCAACAATCTGAGATCCTGAGACCTTCTCCACTATGACCTGTAAAGCACAGGTGTGAAGGTCAGGCTTTTCAGGATTGGTATGAACAGACAGCTTCAGTGAATCGCTTGCTGGTAAAGGCTTACAACAGTGAGCAGAGGGGAGGAACAAAAAGGTTTCTTGACCACAACCAAATGAGAGGTAGGACTGGCTCAGCACTGTAAAACCGGATTTTACAACTGCACTGAATCCTATGTTCATATACTCAATGGCTTAAAATTTCCTAAGCCGCAGGTTGACATCATGGGGTAAAAAGATGCACTATGCCTAAAACAAACCTGTGACAGGAAAGTATACACATCTTTTAACTTTTTCTACACCGATGATAGGAAATTACTGCAATGTGGACCCCAAGTTGAACATGAGGCAGCAGTGTGCCCCAGCAGCAAAGGCGGCTAATGGTATCCTGGGCTGCATTAGGCAAAGTACTGCCAGCAGGTCCAGGCAGGTGATCCTTCCCCTCTGCTGGCACTGGTGAGGCCACACCTGGAGGGCTCTGTCCAGTTATGGGCTCCTCAGTATGAGAGAGACATGGACATACTGGAGAGAGTCCAACAAAAGGTCTCCAAGATTTTTAAATGATTGGAACATCTCTCCATCACTCCTATGAGGAAATGCTGGGAGAGCTGCAGCTGTCTGGCCTGGAAAAGCGAAGGCTTGAGGGGGATCTTATGAACGTTTATAAGTATCTGAAAGGAAGGTGCAAAGAAAATGGAGCTAGGTTGTTTTCTGTGATGCCCAGCGACAGGACAAAAGGCAGTGGGCACAAATGGAAACACAGGGGATTCTCTCTGAACATCAGGAAATACTTTTTTTACTGTGCGGGTGATGGAGTACTGACAGGTTGCCCAGAGAGGTTGTGCAGTCTTCTACCTTGGAGATACTCAAAAGCCACCTGGACAAGGTCCTGGGCAGCTGCCTGTAGGTGGCCCTGCTTGAGCAGGGAGGGTTGGACCAGATAACCTCTGGATGTCCCTTCCCACCTCAACCATTCTGTGATTCTGATTTATTCATACCAGGACAGTAATGTCCTATTGTATTTAAATATCGCTAATTTTCAAAATGTTCTAAAGTTCCCCATGTGCACAATCAAAAAATATTGTATTCTACGACAAAACCTTGGGGGGAAGGGGAAAGAGAGGAACTGGTGTCTACTGAGACATCCGAAGCACAGGCAGCTTGAAAACTTCAGGTTTTGGAGTGGCTTGTCTGCACTACTTCCCTTAAACTAACTGGTGATTTAAGGAAGGACTCCAGGACTTCTGTCTTCTCGCTTACTCCAGTTGATAGTAACAAACTGAGAAATCCATTTAACCATATTCCTTCCTTGCCCCATTCAGCTGTAGTGGAGTCATGAAAAATTCAACTAGACTGCAGCGCTAGTACCTGAGCAATGGCAGGTGATCTGAGGAATTGCGTTCCCTTTGCACAGATGCTGCTTATTTTGTTTTTGTCACAATCACAATGTAAATAGAAAGTAGAATAGAACAGAATAATTCAGTTGCAAGGGACCTACAACTATCATGTAGTCCAACTGCCTTACCACTTCAGTGCTGACCAAAAATTAAAGCATGTAACTAAGTGCATTGTCCAAATGCCTCTCAAACACTGACAGGACCGGGGGCATCGACCACCTCTAGGAAGCCTGTTCCAGTGTTTGGCTGCCCTCTCGGTAAAGAAATGCTTCCTGCTGTCAAGTCTGAACCTCCCCTGATGCATCTTTGAACCATCCCCATGTGTCCTGTCACTGGATACTAGGGAGAAGAGACCAGCACCTCCCTCTCCATGTCCTCTCTTCAGGAAGCTGTAGAGAGCAATGAGGTTGCCCCTCAGCCTCCTTTTCTCTAAACTAGCCAAACCCAGAGTCCTCAGCTGCTCCTCGTAGGACATGCAAGTGTGACCATCATTGCTTGATGACTTGTGTTATGCAGAATTCTAGTTTGCAACGAGCATGCCCTATCCTCTTTTAAATTGTCATATGACTAAATAAAAGTCTCACAATACGCAGCAATACAGGTTTAATACGCACACTGCCTCCACCCTTCCAACTTAACTGTCTTCTTTAAACAATGTTCCAAGTTGCTCCTAAAAGATGACAGAACCAACTGCCTTGATATGGCATACAGCAAAATTAGAAAAAAAAAGAAATAGAAATAAATTTCAGTAACACTGAAGCTATAAAAATCAGTATTTAGGTAAATGAGAGGGAAAGCTACCAGCCTAGTCTAGTATCTAATCTGCCATTTCATCTGTTATGCACAAACCAGAGATGCCAAAATGGCTCTCAGGCTTCTATCTAGAGCATTAGAGTATTCATTAATACTTTCTTTTTCCTTCTCCCTGAAGTATTTTTTTATTCATCTGTGCAGCATCCTGTACCATGACAGAACATTTACCAGTATGTCAGAAACTGTCATGCTAAGCAGAGGCACGCACGTACTTCAGGTAACTCAGTGCAGAGCTGAAGAAGCCACGTTATATCTGAATACAGAGTTGCAGTGTAAACTGTGATATAATGCAAGGTTCTAGCTGGCCATAGACCACATGTTCATTTTTTTACAGTGCTCTCCAGTACTGCTTTGGATTTGACATCCATGGTCTCTGCATTTCTGTAACTAATCTGGCAATGATCACTGACTTCCCACAGCTAGCCAGCAAGCATTTCAGCCAGGCTCAACAATGCCTCAAGGAAGAGAAATGAAGCATGGCTGCAGTACACTCTGGAATACCAGCTGGCCTGCCAAGGACACCAGTTCAGCACTCCGCCAAATCACCAGAAAGGTGCTGTGATGTGATCTTGTCTGTGTGCCTCTGCTGTACCAGACTTATACTGCCACATAATCCAGCAATGTATACATCTGATGTTAAAAACTATATGATTACAGCTTCAGCTGATGGGATGAAGTTACAGGATTACAGTGAAGCCATACTAATAAATTGTAGGTTTTAGCTATATATGAATAAGAGTCAGATGGGATATATAGTCTGTAAATAAAATAATCACAACCCATGCTTATTCTGCTAGGCCACCATAGGAACTTGCCTATTCTCTGCCTACACCAGGAGTGTTTGATGACTGAAAGCAGGTAGGAACCCAAGCAGAGATGCCTAGAGATGATGTTTGCAGCATCAACAGGCTTTTGTTTGCAACTTTGAAAAAAGACTGTCTATGTTAATCTATTTTAGGATGTCTCTTCAAAAACATACTGATTTTATCACTGGAAACCAGAATTCTTTTTAACAGGTGTTATTCTGAATATAATCACACTCTAAGGCATATTGTTTGTTTCACTGTGCTATTGTTGTCAAGGTAGGACTCACCGATGCTATTCTCTGCTTTGTATTATGCTGAACTGACATTTGAGTATCTTACTCCATACCTTAGGAAATTAGAAATTGACTATTGGAAGGAAAGATAGCAAGATGGCCGCAAACAAAACCAACAGTTATCGGAGGAAGCAGAATTAAGTATTACTTGTGGAAAGGACCTGATGCTTATTGCTTCACACAGGCTAGTTC